TATCTCAAATTTTAATTCAATGTAATATTAATAATACATGAATATAGTACATTTTAATTTTTTTAATTAACATTTTTAGCAGTTTTAAATATAATTTTTTTTTCAAATTCAGTAGTTTATTATGATTTTTAGTTAGACATGACTGATAAATTTTAAAAAATTCAGAATATTTACATAAAATTTGATACAATGGTGTTTTTGGGATCACTGATTACTCTCTAAATTTGAATCAGTTTGATTTCACTGCTAACCAATTATAAGTATACCAAATCAGTGAAATTTTACTGTTTTGGTATACTTATAACTGGTTAGCAGTGAAATTCACTGATTCAAATTTAGAGAGTACGGATCTAAAGTTAGATTTTTTAAATTCAAAATAGTGGATTCAATATGTCGGACGAATTTTTAAATAGGTAATTGGATTTGTTTGAAATTCATAGCCCAGGGGATTTTGATGTCGCTAATTATGAATGTGAAATCAGATTCTATAGAATAATTAATTGGGTTCGCTTAAAATTCATTACTATCATGGAGAAAAAAGAATTGTTGTGGTTACTAAAAATTAAGTCCACACAAAAATTCCGGATTATCAATATAGAACCAGCAGTTCTATTTGTTTTTGGGACAAAAAAAAATGTTAAAATGGGATTGTTTTTAAAACTATTCGGATTGTTCGGTGAAAAAACAGAATTGTTTGATGAACAAAGAAAATTGTTATGGAACAGTTGAAATAACAAAACTATATTGTAAAATCGGCAATACAATTTGTTGTATTAACAAAGCTTTGATTGGTCTAATACAATTTGTTCAGTTTCTTCCCCTTCTAAAATAATCAATAGCAGATTTCCGTAGGTCATGTCACCAGTTTCATTTGCATTAAAATCGCTGATTGCAATTTTAATGTCAGATTTTCGAAATTAAAAATTTCGGATTCAATATGGCGGATATTTTTTTAAATTCAACTGATTCGCTTGAAAATCACGTAACTTGGGAGTATTTTAGATCTTTGATGACGATTCTGATAGCAGCCGTATTGGATCCGCCATTTTTTCGAAAATCTGGCATCGTTATCGTAATCAGCTACCTCGAAATCCCCCGAGTAACAAGTTTCAATTTAAGTACTTAGTTTTCCTTTTTTTAGGGTTTTCAGGTCGTGTAACGCAAAATTTAAATGGTTGTATCTGAGTGAAAAAAAATCGGATTTGAACGGGCCAAGAAAATTTTAAAAGGCAAATAGTAGTACTTTCTTTAGAAATTTGAACCAACGCTTAAAAATTTTTTTTGGAGATTTTATAGATGATTGAATGTTGCCAAAAACGGCCTTTTTCACGCTTTTAGGTTAGAATATCTCGAAATCCGGACGTGATAGAGCAGTTTCGCTGTCATTTTTGGATTCAGCGTGAAAAATTACATGGGAAATGACTATTCCGATTTCTGGGTCTAAAATTTGTAGGTCTGTGTTATTTTTTAAAATAGTTGTATTTACGGACATTGTGAGTCAATTTTTGAGCTTTACAACTTAAAAAAATCATTTTTGACAGCTAATTTAGTTTATTGTTGTCAATATCGCTATATCTTAGTGAAGTACACGGATCAAGTTTTAATTTAACTCCTAGGACAAGTCTCTAGCACGTCGTGTTTGCCCGGTAGAAATTTTCAAAAACTGCCAAAAACGTGATTTTTGGGACTTTTACCCCCACTTTTCTCAAAATCCTGACGTGATGAGAGGTTTTCGTTGTCAGATTCGGATTCAGCGCACCAAAACTACGGGAAATGACTCCTCGATCTCTGACAACCGAAATTTTTTTTTGCAGCCTTGTGTTATTTAACAGCACTTTGTCATTTAAAAAAAAACTAATAATAAAAGCAAAATTGGCCCATGTGCTAGAACAATTTAAGATTACCACGTGACATGGAATAATAAACCTGTTAGCTGAACAAATCTGGATTGTTCAATCAGCAATCGACAGAGAGTTTGCTTCTGTAACTGTAAGGCATTGCAAATTGAACAAATCTGACAACAAAAAATTCGTGTTGTTAAAACAACATACATTCACAGAAAAAAACTGAACTCATAATGAGCCCTGTAGGCGGCTCATTTTGATGTGCAACAAAAATGAACCAGGTTGGTGGCGCCACTGTCTATGTCGTTTAGCATTGGCTCATTTTGATTTGCAACAAGAATGAAACTAGGTTTTTTCTGTGTTTGTATTGACAACAATCCGAATTGTAATATCAACAAATCTACTGACAACAATCCAAAAATGCATGGGTAAGGCTATCATAACCTATATGATATATATATATATATATATATATATATATATATATATCCCAACTGGAGTTTGGGAATAAAATTTTACAAGTTACAAATCATTACTTTTAAGTGAGTTAATTTAATACTCGGTATTTTTATTAAGAATGAGCCTAGTTACACCGAGAGCCAACCAGGAGCATTAAATTTGATACTCAGGCGTATTAAACGAGTAGATTATATTCGCGTCTGCGCAGAATTTTTGTGTACATTTGCGACCATGGTTAATACCAGGTCATGGCTGGATATACAAGGCGCAAAGCTAGTATAAATTCCAACTTTAAACTATACTACTGCTACTGCGACCATGGTTGCGATAGGGACTGGTTAGAAAAGTTAGGTTAGAAAAGGCTTCCACGTGGTCGCCAAGCCAGCGAAATTTTCTAACCTGTCCTATCGCAACCATGGTCGCAGATGTACGCAAATATTCTTCGCAGACGTAACTATAATCTACTCGTTTAATACGGCAGAGCATCAGATTTGATGCTCCTGGTTGGCTCTCAGTGTAGCCAGGCTCAGTATAGAAAAAGTAAAGGTACACTGAAAAAAAATTTATTTGATTCAAATACACCGGTATTCTTTTTAGTGTATATTCCTTTACTGCGATTGCAAAAGGATCCCTTGATGAAAGTTTCAGATTAAATTTCAATCAGATTTAATAAGTATTATTCCAAAATTTATTTCTCAGCCAATCAGTTTCTATTCGAATCTAAATTTTAATGTGACCTAAAATATATCCTTTCCTAAATTAATCTGTTTCATTCTGAAGCTGAATTTTAATCCTTTTGAATCCTGAAATTTCATTCTGAATCAATCTGTTGTCAAGCCAATACACCCAAAAAAAAGTAATCTTATATTCAGAGGAAAATTCCTCTTCTAATATCCTCTAAATATTTCCTCTTAAAACAAGATTATTCAATTGAAATGTAGAATATTTTTATTCTTCATTTTAATGGAAGAATGACAAAAGGATTCCTTTTGTATTTTCCTCTTTAATTAAGATTTTCTGTTTTAAATTTAGAAGATTTAAAAAAAGGAAACGGAAAAAAATAATGTAATCGTTTGATCCCTTTCCCTGGATATGATAGTTGTGAAGTTGTTTTTTAACCTTTCAGTTTTAATATTTCTGGTAAAATGTCAACAAAAAGGACAAAAAAATGGATTTGCTTTATTAAAAATACAGAAAATATAGTTAAATTCAAATTAAATGAATATTTTTAACGCTATTTTTAGATTTAAAAAAATTTGGATATTTCTTGTGAAATTTTACTACTCAGGTAAATAGAAATACTATAACCCTATTTTTGAATCTTTCGAATTTTTTAAATCTTTTTATTTATTTTTTTAAAAAAGTTTTAAAACGTTAAATAATTTCATATATGAAATTTTTTTCTGTCCTATAAAAAATGTTAACTTTTAAACATATCATCATGTTTTAAAATTATTTTTGCGCTGAAAATCTCTTTGATCATTACAACTGATTAATGAAAACTTATTTTTTGTATTTTAATTATCAATATAAAATGTTGATAATTAACCAAAAACATGACATTGTTAATGTTATATTAAAAATCAATTTTTATTATTATATTGAAGTGAATTATTATAATTTTACTTAATTTTAATTTAAAAATGTATTTTCTGCAAAGATTTTATTATTTGATTGAAATTATAAATATTTTATTGATGGCTTTGACATTAAAAACAATTTTGCGAGGTTTGGATGACAACATTTAATTTAAGAGGAAAATCCTCTTAAATGAAGAATAATAATTTTGATACCAAAATTAAGAGGAAAATATGCATTTATTTTAGAGGAATCCTCTAGATTGAAAATTACTTTTTTTAGGGTGTAGGATTGATTCGGAATGAAATTGGAGGTTTCAAAAGTATTAAAATTCAGCTTCAGAATGAAACAGATTAATTTAGGATAGAATATATTTTAGGCTACATTAAAATTTAGATTTCGATAAAAACTATCCACACAGCACAGAAAAATTTACTGAACATTTATAAATCTTTAACCCTCTAATAGATACGGGTGGGACTTTCAGTTCAGTCAATTTTCGCACCAAACATTCAATCAGGGCGGACATTTTAATATTTATACAACCTTTACTAAATCTCGCAACTCAACATTCCGAAATTAGCACTTAAAGATTTATAAATGTACAGTAAATTTTCGGTGCTATGTGGGTGATTTGCTTAGAAAAAAATTGTTGAATCCTTCATTGGAATAATATACTTACAAAAACTGATTGAACACCAATCCGAAATTTTTGTCAAGGATTAGACTTTTTTTAAAATATCCGTTAAAAGTTAAAATTTAATTCTCCTTTTTTCACATAGAGTATTCAGTATTAAAGAATGAAGTCAATGAAATATGACTCATTTATTTTAAGGTTATGTTTGTGACTATCTGCTGACGTCGCGAAGTTATATTCTGATTGGCTAAGTGAGTCCAGAATGGGCATATAACATTCAAGTAGCAGCGCACTGGTCTGAATGCTATACTCGAACGTTTATACGTCCATTCGGGACTCAACTTGTACGCAAATAATTTAAACTTCTGAGTAAACGTTATTTCGAATATTTAGAGGTAATAAATCCGAATGGTATATATTATTTAAGTTAGATACTATCTCTGATTGTTAGTGTTGTGACCTATTATATTTATTTTCAGTACCGTCGTTGTCCCAGTTTCCGTCCATGTTCCAGTAGCCGTCCATTTTTACAAACATCTCGTATAATAATTGAAATTACTTTTTAACAATATTTTATATTCTTTTTGGCAATGCAATGCACTGAAAAAAATTTATTTAATTCAAATAATCGGTTACTTGATAATATTATCAAATAAATATTTACTTGAACCAAATAATTTTTATAAATAAAAACTGAGAACTTTGCACTTTTTTCAGAAAATATAAAAAAAAAATTTTCTCTGCAATTATCCTCATTTTTTCTCATATTTAAATTTTCAGGAAAGAATTCTTAAAGTAGATTAAATTGGTTTGTTCGTTTAATTTTTTGTAAACAGAAAATTTTGAATAATATACTCCGTTTTGTCCCACTTTATTTTTAATTATTTTCAGAGAAGCGTTTTGTTAGCAATCTCAACAAATGAATTTCGAAATAGCAACCACATTATAGGTACAATATATCTTTAATTATCTTATTAATTAACATTTTTTCAATTTAATCATTCTAAAATTTAGTCTGCTTCATCCATCCCTTTCTATTCATAATAATAGCATATAGAATCTATAATACAGTCTAATCAAATTCAACAAATATTCATTAAAAGATTATATTGGGATTTAGCGTAAACATGCTGAGAGTGAAAGTGAGGGATTATTATTGATAAAAATATAAATAATAAATAAATTACTAATATAATTTATAAACATATTAACGATTTAATAAAAATGGATTATATTTTCTATATATATAGTTCGAAATAGAGAATATTTAAATATAATAATTAGTTATAAATTGATAACGATAAAAATATAGGGGAAACTGGGGCAAACCGGCCATGTTAATAGTTGTATAAGGCTCTAGTAACTAAAGAATGTCAATAAAGTTAGCAGAGCAAAATCAGCAGACAATAACCGGACTATAAGGAGATTTTAAGGCTTTTTAAAGGCTATTTAAGTGCCCTATTCCCAATTTAAATGCTCCCATAGGTTTCGAGAAAATACATGTTCTGCTAAACCTAAAAAAAGTTAGCAGACCATCACATCTAAAATACATAAAACCCAATAAATTCACTGTTTTAAGTAAAGATTATTTAAAGGCTATTTAAAGGCTTCACAAAAAAATTATAACCAACTACTTTAAGCCCTTAATAAGGGTTGAAGCACGCGAACTAGCGGCCCTTTCCAGCAGAACACTAACTTTTTACTTAAATTAAAAAAAAAACCTAATTTTCAAAGCAGAATAATTAAAGGCTTATTAAAGGCTCCCACAACAAACTATACCAAATTAACCTAAGCCCTTATTAAGTGTTAAACTAGCGGCCCTTCCCAGCAGAACACCAACTTTTTACTCAAATTCGAAAAAATTCTAATTTTTACGGCAGAATAATTAAAGGCTTATTATAGGCTCTCAGAAAAAACTCTAACAAATCACACTGAGCCCTTATTAAAGGCTAAACTAGCGGCCCTTCCCAGCAGAACACTAACTTTTTACTTACATTCGAAAAATTCCTAATTTTCAAAGCAGAATAATTAAAGGCTAATTAAAGGCTCTCACCACAAACTATAACAAATCACCCTAAGCCCTTATTAAAGGTCAAACTAGGGGCTCTTCCCAGCAGAACACCTGTATAAAAAAAATGCTTAGTAAAATCATTAAATAATATACCGATAAATTTAAACGAAGCTGAAGTACGCAACGTTTATGATAAACGATTTTTAAAGAAATAATTTTTAAAAATGAAAAATTCTATAATGTTTTGCCTAAAAAATATTTTTTTATAATTTGTTAATTAATGAAAACTACAAGAAATATTTTTTAGACGAAAAATAAAAGAATTTTTCATTTTAAAAAAATAATTCTTTAAAATCGTTTATCATAAACGTTGCGTACTTCAGCTTCATTAAATTTAACTGAGGCATGCACCTTTTAATCCTAAAAAACAATTTTAATAAATATTACACGATTTTCTCACAAATTGCTTATGAACAGATTCGTAAAAATTTCTAGCGGAAGCGAAAAAACAAAATTTTGTTTATAAAATTGCATAAACACAATTAAAAAATGTCAAACTGAAGAAATAAGTTATTCTTAATATAGTCTTTTCAAATTTATAATTGACATATTTTAAAGTTTGACCATTTCTGAAAAACTAACACCTGGCCGGTTTACCCACATGACCGGTTTGCCCCAGTCTCCCCTACTATTGCATTAATTATAATCTATACATAGTTAATTAATTAATTATCAAATTACTTTGTTATATATAGGGTGAAATTCCTGAAGTGTGATCCAAATACCAAAATGTGTGCGTTGCATTTTTTTGAAAAATCATATAACTAATGTATATAAAAGGATGAAAAAAAATTGACCTGTATGGTCAAAGACTTTTTCCTGCTCTTTTGAATTGTGCAAAAACTTTTTTTTTTCGTCGATTTAACGTTGGTAACTTCAGTGTCACAAGTTATTGCAATTTTGAAGCTACCAATTGAAAGCTGACGTAATTCCACATTCAACGAAACCTATATGAAGTATTTTGTATTAGTGGATTGTTAATAAACAATTGCAATGTTAACCAATTGTTTATTAACAATCCACTAATCCAAAATACATCATATAGGGTTCGTTGGATGCGGAATTATCGATGGCTCCTAAGTGAAAACGTATTATTCACGAGTGCAAATATAAAACGCATAGAGAATAAGAGAATCTTAGTGACCCTAAAATACTATACTCTTCTTTTATTTGTATAATCATTAATTTTATCTTATCAAAATATAAAAAAAAAGTTAATATCAAAATTTTATTTTGAAAACACGTAAAGAAAAACAATTGAGAAATATTACATATATATTAAAATAAACTATAGTAAAATAACTCTATTTATGATGATAAAATGGGCAAAATTCTTGAATTCCTCACAATCACAATGTTGATGAGCTTTAACCTATTGTTGAAATATGAATGACGTTCTCTGAATGTTCTAATCAATTACCAAACATCACGTTTCAAATTCAATGATTCATAGTTAAGGAAATTCATTATTTTCTCATTAATACCATATATACAAACATTATTATACATATTATATATATATATGTATATTTCTACAAAAATTTCTTTTTAAAAAAATGAGACCACCTTATCAACCTGAGTTTTGAAAATAGAGTAGTTTATCTTCATTTATATCTCTATGACAACAATATGCTTATCTTTAACTTGACAAGAAACTATTCTTTAACTCATCACGTATAAATCAAATTACTAAAAATAATAATAAATTATAGGTATAATATCTGCATTATTTTTTTTATAGTTATCTTTATTTGATGGCGATTATGTGTCACTCTCCCTTTCTCTCAACATATATTTTAAGTTATACTAAAACAATACTTTTTGGATCAACTTCACTTTACAAGAAAAGTTGATAGAACACAGAAATTGACCTTTTATTTAAAAAACATTTTTAATGAAAACTTTGAAATTGAAGAATATAAAATTCTATATGAAAATGAATAATTCATATCCGAATGAAAATAATTGTTTCTCTCTGAGAGAGACTGACTCTTGGACTTAATAATAGTTCACCTAGAGAAACAACTATTAAATGTAAATGTACGCAGTGAATAAAATTACATGAAAATATTTCTTTTGCAAACTATATATATATACATTTATATCTGTTATCAAATTAAAAAAAAAAAAACCCTTCGCCTTTTTACAAAAAGAAACTCAAACTTTATGCAACTTAAATTTTAATCTTCCACTGTATTACAAAATTCAAAGTAAGATCAAATATATGTATAATATTCGAGGGGGAAATTTCACTTTAGCAAATATTGAAAGTTTAAAGTAGGGAAAAGTATTCTCCGAGCAAAATCTCAGTGAATAATTTAGAAAAACATTTCGTGTAATATCATTTTCATTATTATTATTATTATTTTTTTGAGTATTGTATTGTGTATTAACCATTATATGCTAATGGAATATAAAAATTTGCGAAAACAAAAAATTAATTTCAGATTCTTTTTTTACACATTCAAGGCAATATGCTACTTGGCGCAAAGTACAAATTCGTTTTCATTTTCTTTATGCTCTTTCTCTCTCGCTCTCATACTTTTGTGAATATCTATATATAGCGGAATAATATTCACAAGCAGTGCCATATCTTTTCGTTTGTCAATTTTCTCGTATTTCAAGGAGTACTTTTTGTTTTTATTCCGTCAAACAAAATGAAATTGAAAAAAAAAATATATATTCTTCTTTTAATTTAAAAGTCAAGAATAGAATGTCACCTTTTTTTAAACTTCACACCTATTACACTATAGTGTCCCATTTTCCATTCTATATATCTAATTGGAGAATTTACATTGGAATACAATAATAAAAATAATTTATTGTTTTATAAAAATTATTTAAAAATATATATATATATTCGAGATGTATAAAATAAAAAAAATTAATAAATAATAAATGTGCGCTAAATTGGAAAGAATTTTTAAACAAGAACTAAAATCACATTTTTAATTTTTAAAAATTGCGAAATTAAATTTGTATATTTTGATTGAAAAACATTTAATTAAATTATTGTAGATTTTTATACACGCAAAATTTATCAATATAAATGGAAATAAAATAAATTCAATATGTTTGAAAAATTGCATATTCATATTCACCATAAATGGAATAAGTGAAGAAAATTTTGAAATGATTATAATAAGTGATAAAATTTTAATATTTCATTTAAACTTAATTCATTTATTTATTCTTTAAATTCTTTTGCTTTCTGTGTGAAAAAAAATATAATTATATTTATTTAGTTATTTACTATGTCAAATCCCGCGGTCCATATGGACCATAAATGGGTATAAGAATATTTAAATAAAATAAGACAAATTGAATTGGTTGCTACAAAAAAAGTATAAGTTCACCAAATCAAAATGTTCAGAAATCAATAAAAACTTTTTTTCTTGTAGATATCAGAATTTTTTTTCCATTACTTTCTATTAATCTAAGTTTAAAAAATGACTGATTTATTTTATTTTTAATATAAGGTATAAA